TCAACCGAACTGGTTTTGCTTGATCACACTGCCGAAAAACATTTTGGCATTTCTGCCCAAAACCTTTTTATTTAGAAAGAAGGCGATATCAGTGCCCCACCTACAAAATTACTTCAGCTTCAAGGAAACCAACTGAAGCTGCATGTTCGGATTAGTGACTACGACTTTGCCAACCCTTCCAGTAGGCTTACCATCATGAATATTCTGGAAGCGAAAGATCGTACAACAATAACTCAAACTGTTGTGAAGGAAAATGCGGTTTGTTTATTGAAAAATCATTAATCATATCTTAATGTGCTTTCTTTCTTAGATTACTGTTACTCCTCTGTCAGTTTTTTACAACTTATTTGTCCTTATGGCTTTCATGTAGGCTGGCATCCAAAGCACCCATTCGTCTAGCCTGTCTTTGACTATCAGTGGATCCCTGCCAAGATCACCAACACAAGTATCACCTGACAACATTCCGTCTGAGGTGTTGACTCCACAACATGCTCTGGCCAAGGGAGCACCTACCACTAGCTCCAAAAGAAAGCATGACGCAATTGTTGAGTGCGACGAGTAGGACAAAGTCTATTCTACTACCCTATCACCAACCATCGTTCTGATCTAGCATTTCTGTTTGTTTTTTTTTTGGATCAATTACTATGGTGAGAAGATAGGCAGATCTAATAATGATAGACATATGTTTGTTTCGCTTTTGCCCCTCTTTGATGGTGATGATAACAATGGATTGCATATATTATATACTACTAGTGTGTTTAATTTGTAATAGAGAATTAGTGATTTACAGTTCAAAACACATAATTCCTCTAAGTTTCACTTCCTTGCTCTCTAGAACTGAACATGCCTTCAGACAATCAAAGCTGATGTTCTTCATTTCACAAAACATAGGCCCAAAATTTAAAAGCATATTAATAATTTAAAACAAAAAGAAGCTCAAAACTTAAAAACCTCTTAATCATTTAACAAAAAAAAAAGGGCCAAAAATGAAAGCCCAATCGATCTTTGGCCGCCATTCACATACATAACCAACAAAATGGCCCATATAAAACACCCCCATCAGCTGAAAGAGGTAGTTTTGTACTGTATGTAACGTAAAACAGCTGCTGTTAATTCTCTCCTTGGCCAGCTGGTTTTGTCGAAAGGGAAACCCTAGAATAAATACGCCGCAGCTGCCGCCGTGCTGGTCCCCCGTCTCCCGCATTCGACCCCATACAGAATCCACTGGCAAGTATTACATATTCTTTCTATTTCTTTTCCCTTTGATTCCTCATTTTGTCTTATTTCAGAGTTCGAGCAAGAAGTTATTGTTGTCCCAAAACTCTATCACAACCCGGTCTGCTATTTTGGGCGACAACAGAAGGGAAAATGTTGCCGCAAGACCCACATGGTATCTTACAATTAGTTGAAAAGAGGTGTGTCCGAATGCTTTTAGATATAATGACTCAGTTTCCCTTTTGCTTTTAGATGTAATGGCTGAATCCACAACCTTTCGTGAACTTCGTCTTGGAACAAGCAACCATTTCCTCATGGCTAGACTGTTAAACATGTGGTCAAAATGTGAGTCAGATGGAACTAGATCTATTACCTCAATGCATATGCTTTGGGTAGATAAAGAGGTATGTTTATAAACATTAAACACCTACTGGTTTTACTCTTATCACAGAACAGTTACTTTTAGCTCATTTGTAACATTTTAACTCCTTTAGGGACAACTTATGGAAGCAAATGTACCCCATGAAGGTTCTGCTCATATTTGCAAAGACATTGAGATTGGTTGTCTCTATACCATGATGAATCCAACTGTCATACCAGCTAGATCTGAACGTCGCACTGCACCTTCCGATTTGAGATTGTATTTTACAAAGGAATCTTCATTGAAAGCGATGATTGAATATCGCAGCACAATGCATTTTCCAGATGATTGTTTTTTTCAAAGTCCTTTCAATGGCAGTGGTTCTTCAATAAGTCTTCCACCTTGCTTCTCAGGTATTCATTGTTTATACTTAACCCACTGATTTCAACAGATTGTATTAGAAATTGATGTGCTAAATATTGTATATTCCAAAGATCACATAGAACAAAACAACTAAAACATTTTCATATTTCAGATATCACAAGATGTGTAACGCATATCACCGAACCAACTAAAGTCAGTTCTATATATCTATGTTCCAGATTCATCTTAAAGATATGAGGTACCACTTATAATTAGTTACTATAATGTCTTACTGAATCAAGATTAGTATGTAATCATACTTATACTCCATTTTCCAACTTTTTAGTGGAAACAAAGGACTTGTGAGCTATATTGGCACAAGAATTAAAGATTTCATTGAAAGTGCTACTGCCAAAAAAGTCCATTATCCTCTGGTTGTGACAGCAACAACACTCACCCGAAACATGCACGAATTTGACCATGTTCCACAGTTATGTTTCGTAACATCTCCGGGCAGTCTTCTTATTGTACATCCGTACAATGAGATGACCAAAGATTTAATGAACAGGTAAACTGTTTTATTTATATGTTCATTTTTAATATATTTTACATGTTTTTTCCTAGAAGTTGTCTAATTTAACTTCCAAAACACTCTAGGTTCTTTCCTAACAGACTGCCTGTGGATATCATTGACTACAAATCAAAAGAGCGTCTTGGATACATTCGGCGCAACATTCCCCCCAGAATCTCATTATTAGAATTGACGAACAAGCTGCCTTTAGGAGAAGAAGAAACAGAGGTAACTATCATTACCTTCTATGCTCTGTTATACATTTGTCAAGGAAGTATATTTGACAAATATAAATAAGTTTCAAATTGACTTTTGTAGCAGTGTTTTCAAATACGCCTAAATTCTATTTTTTGTCTTTCTCCTATATCAAACTATATGACAGATACTCTATCGGTGCAAATTGAAAATAGTCAAATTCGACCTTGGTTCTGTGACCCGTGAAGTTTTTCCTGGAGACACTGAGTATTTCCAAATACCTTTGCTTTTTTATTCCCTATTATAAAACTACTATACATTGTTTAAATGCATCTAATCTACATACTTCTTCAGATTATTCTATGAACTGCAGGCTGAATGTGAATCAGCAAATCACAAGGCAAAGGTCATTCTGAATCATGGACCTGCTCTTGCTCTGCTTCGTAAGCCACCGATCGAGTTTAAAAAATGTCATATGACAAGCGAGTTCAGTTGCTTAAAGAATGTTGTAACATCAAATTCATGGCAGAAGTATACATCATTGGATCAGAATATGAAGTTGAACCACATATTCGCATGTTTTCAATTTGGCATCCAAAAGCATTTCAACCATTACTCGATCTTAAACTGAACCTATAAACACTGTCCGCATTTTGCATTTGAAGAAGGTACATGTCTTGCCTTTTTTATTTCAAATACAGGAGAATATTGCTATTTATTAACACAACTGAGGCTTTACATTTAATAATTAGCTTCTACTTCTGTTATTATTTCAGCTGGTAAGACTAAGGGATGAATCAGCTGGTTGTCTGAGAAAGAATCAAGGGAAGGCAGAACTAGAAGATATGAATTCTAATGTTATTTTGTGCATTTCATCTTTTCGGTAGTAGAAGAAGTACATTTATATTGTTATTGCGATGTAGTAGTTATATTCTGACTTAGAAGAACATATACTTCTGTGATTTCAAGTACATGTATGTCTTCCATTTAGTTCAGCTCTTGGTACGTATGCAAAACAATATGCACTGCACCTAATTTCCCCTTCGTTTTTGTATGTCTTCCACTTGCCTAATCATAAACCACCGGATCCTCAAAGTGATTCATAAACCACCGTTTTTGTATGTCTTCCACTTGCCTAATCAACTGATTTATTCACTGTATGCACTGCATTTCTACACCAACTGTATATTTACCCTCACATTGTTCGAATGCAAGGAAAAAATGGGATAATTAGAAGATAAATGAATAGTGACTACCCATACTATAATAGCAACAATGAAAAAACGGGATCCCCTATTCTCACACTTTCGTGGTGCCCGGAAAATTTACACACCTAATTTACATCTCCAACTATTGTACGTTACTCAACTCAGCTGCATCCGGCCATCGGGCCGGGCACTAGGCTAGTTGTTTTTGTACTTCTTAATTTCCCCTCTCTTAAAATTTAAAACTCCTCCTTCACGTAGGCTTTCTTTTCCCTCTTTTGTTTTGGTTGTTTCGTAGAGGTATAAGAGTGATTATGAAATAAAATATTATTATTTATCATGATAAATGGTTCTCTATTTATAATTAACAATAATTAGTTGTTCAAAAAAAGATATAAAATATTTTTTCTACCTATTTATGATAGATATATATATATATAACTTCAAAAAATGTATATAAAAAATATAATAAGGAGTTTATTCAAAAAAAAATCTTCTCCACCGCAATCCTTCTTCGAATTTCTCTCTATTACACTTAGTCATATGTCAATATTCAACCATTATAAATTGAATGTCTAACTTAAGTATCATTCATGAATGTGGACTACTTATTTGAGACATAAACAATCACGTAGTTACGATCTCATAAATTTAAATAGATAGATTACAAATATTTCCACGAAAATAAATTAACTTAACAAATTAAAATAATTATCTGCAAATCACTTACCTGATAAGATAAAACACGAAACTCACCCGACCAAAGGTCGGGAACAAAGCTAGTACATAAATAACAGGCTTGCTTAAATTAAATATTATTACTCTTTTTCTTAATATTATTATTAGTGATTGTGTACAAGTGGAAATGTTCGCCCGTATGGAAACGGCGTGATTGTATTCAGATTTCAGATGAGATTATCATTAATACCTCTTGGCACGCGAAACTACGAAACAAGAGACGGCCGTATCGTGTTGACCGTAAACGACGCCGTTGCTTCACGTCCACCAAAGCAACCTTCCCTCCCCTGCTTTGCATCCGCCGGTTTCTTCCCGACAACAACCCGAAAAAAGATCTCCGTCCAATTTCACCATGGATTCCACTTCCGCCACCGCAAGCCTTCTGCCACCGGAATCCAAAACTACCACCAACACCATCACACCGCCGGATCCCCCTAAACCAATCGCCTCAGCCACCGACCGAGATTTCCTAAACCACCTGGAAGCCTACCTCTCCAAACGCGACGGCGTCGACAAGCTCCTCAAGATCTCGCGATACGCCGCCAAGATCGTCCTCTCCTCCTCGATCCTCCCCGAAACCCTAATTCTCACCACCCGCCTCAAGAGCTTCGAGTCCAGCGTCGGCCTCAGCCGGAAGGCATTCCGCCTGGGGAAATTCGTGCAGGACGTCAACGCCCTCCGCTCCTCCTCCCACTTCGGCTCCCAACAAGAATTGGTCCTCTCGATCCTCGCCTACGGCGGCGAAGGGATCTACTACTTCGTCGAGCAGTTCGTCTGGCTGTCGAAATCGGGTCTGATCGACGCCCGCCATGCCAAGAGGTTGGGGAAAATCAGCGCCTGGGCGGAATTCGCCGGGTACGTCGGGAGCATCTCGTTGAAATTTAGGGATTTGAACAAATTGAGCGGGGAGATGGCCGCGGTGTCGTCGATGGTCGAGATCGCGGACTCCAGAGGGGAGGAAGAAGAGAGGATGAAGAAATTGAAAGCGAAGATGGTGTTGAAGAAGCTCTCGATCGTTCAGGATTTCGCCGATGGGTTTATGGCGTTGGCTGATATTAGGGACGGGAAAGGGAAGCTGTCTTCGCCGTTGTTTTTGTCTTGCGCGGGGCTTTTGTCAGCCATTATTAGTACCCAGAAGAACTGGGCTTCCTGCTGAGCTTGGGAATCACCAGGTAAAAGTAACACAAACAACCCTTGTATTCTGAGGAAATATAGTCTATACACTTCCGACACACATTAGCTTGACTAACAATAATGGATTCTTATGAGGAACTGAAAGAACTGTTCAATGGTTTTTTTTTCTTTTCATACTTCACTTTGTTTGCATAATAAAAGTTACACAATTAGCTCTGAATGTGGCCCATCTTGTTCTTAATGTTCCTGTAGTTGGGATGAATCCTGAATCTGGGTCTCAGCTCGATTGTGAATGTTACTAGCTAACTATGGATTGATTCTAGGCAGAGTTCATCTCTGTGAGCTCTGTATTCGAGTGAGAAATTAAGAACTAGGATGTATCTTAACATATTGCAGAGCCGAAGTATGTTGGCAATTTGCTTGCGGCTTTTGAGTAGCTCATGGGTTCTATCTGCGGAGTTCTTCTCATCTCGAAGTTTGAATCTGCAGAATTGGTGTTGTTTGGTTTTGCTAGTATGCTTCTCTTCTTGGGAGCTTCACTGCAGAAAGCTTCCATCAGTTTCTGCAGATGAGCTGTTGGAGATCCTTGTTATAACTCCTCTGTTAGCCACAAGATGCAATGATTGGTGTGACGAGTTCTGATATTTGGGAGAGTCTTGCCACCACTTTTGCTTTGCTTAGGGTCACTGTAAGTCTGTAACGTTGATCCAATATCCAATTCATTAGGAAACGAGTATGAAAGTAGGTATGTTCACTTTCATTTCCTTTCTGTTCTGGAAATACCCTTAACGAATAAGGGTATGGTCTAGTGATAATATTACTAACAAATTCATGTTCGGTAACTCGAGAACAATGATTCGTTACGTTTAAAATTGATTTTTCTTATTATTGTCACAACTATGTGAAACAGCGTTAGAGCTTGGGACCATAGACCTAAAACTGTGGCATGGGCTCCCTGCTGCATTTGGCAGTACTGGGCCGATAGTAGTTACAATCTTTAACGGGCTGAGGGCGACATGAGAGGCGGCAATGTGGGCCGTGCGAATCAATTCTGAATGATGATGGATTCTGAATTGACAACTAATGAACCTGGGACCGTGATTAACTCTCTAGATAGATTAATACGGAACTTCATCTACAGTCACACACTCACACCGTCTTTTTGTTAAACTGATTATTATATATTAACCCAGCATCTAATCGCGGATCATGCTTTTTTGTTTGTTAATTATTACACACGGCCATTAGGTTAGTTGATCGTTTACCTGCCAAGCCTAATCATCCGTCAAACCAATCCAACGGCTGGCAGCGAACAATCTAGATCCCATCCCCGTCACTTAACGGCGACGTGACGCTGACAGCAAGTAGCCAAATTGGTTTTTGGTGGGAGTTCCCGTACGGAATTATCTCCGCGTCCGCGATAGAGACAGAAGGAGAGTCGTCTCAGCGGCAGCGAGCGCCCATCATCTTCTTCCCTCCCAATCACCATTCATCGCCATGTCGCTCCTTCTTCCTCCCATAGATCTACGCCGGCGCCGACGACAAGATCCTCTCCCCTCCCTACACCGTCAATTCTAACTTCGTCCAATTACTCCGACCATCACTCTCCCTCCGCCTTCTCAATTACAAAAAACGATAATAATTGATGGAGACTGAGCTTCACGATGTTAAGCCAGTGCCTCCGAAGGGCCACGTCATCTCCGATTCTCCCTCACCGGCGTCCCCCGTCGACGACGCCTCACAGAACGACGACCGACCGCTCCTCAAATCCGACTCCTCCTCTTCCGCCGCCAACGGACGTGTCTCCGACGAGAGCCTGGAGGAGCTGAACAAGAAGTACGCCGCGTTCGCTCGCCACGACGTCTACGGTCCGCTCGGCCGCGGGGAGCTGCCGTTCGTGGAGAAGCTCCTGCTGGGCGTCGCCTGCGTCACTATCCTCCCGGTGCGCGTCGTGCTGGCCACCCTCGTCTTGTTCTCCTACTACTCGGTGTGCAGGATTTGCACGCTCTTCTCCGCGCCCAATCGGGACGAGGCGGCGGAGGGGCAGGACGACTTCGGTCACTTGAGAGGGTGGCGGAGGACTGTTATTGTCTCCTGCGGCAGGTTTCTCTCCAGGGTCATGCTGTTTGTGTTTGGGTTTTATTGGATCAGTGAGAGTTTTAGGGATTTAGAGCAAGAGCAATCTCCGCCTCAAGGCAAGTCATCCTCCGAGGTAATGTACCAGTTCTTCAGTATATGACGCATACTTGATACCTGCAAATTCTTATTTGTGTTGGTGTTCTTTTGCTGCCATTGTTGGTAAGCTGGGACTGCTCTATCAGTACTTTGCTTCGTGCTTTTTTGGAGTAATTGGTGACCTGGGATTTAGTGTCTCGCTGCTGCTTATTGGTTGCAAGAATGCCACCAGTCCACTGCGTACAAAAAAATTTGCCAAAAGGAGGAATGGAGAAAGTAGGAGATGAATGGCTATTTATTCCCAGCTGAATTTGTCTATGGTGTTCTTTTGTTGACTTTCCAGTCTCGTAGTGAGATGGAAACTGTCTCTCTGGCCACCTTTCTGAAATAAGACATGGGATTCTGTCAATGACCCAGCTTCTGAAGTCATTGATACTTGCTTTATGCTTCAGCTTGTTGCTATATTCATTCAGGCTCTCCCTTTCAAAGGGGTAGTCTACCTAGAATTTTCAGTTTCAAAGAGAGCAATATCTTACTTTGCTTTATTCTCCCCCTGCTCTTGACTTTTGGATCAGAACGAGGGCAAAAATCAATTGCAGCGACCCGAAAGACCAGGGGCGACAGTATGCAACCATGTATCATATGTTGATATTCTGTATCACATGTCGTCATCTTTTTCCAGCTTTGTTGCGAAGGTATGCTCAAGCCTGCCATCTTTTATTCTTATGATGATGATAGTCGTTTATATGCAAGGGTTCAAGATGCAAACTACCTTGTGTGCAACTTTTTGCTGGTATTACTGATTGATTCTTTCATTTTATGCGGTTCGATGACCCATGCTTCTGGTGCCCAAGAGATCAGTGGCTAAACTTCCTTTAGTCGGTCTCATCAGGTTAGTTCACTTTATTTATCATAAAATTTCTCTTTTGTGTTCAACTGTCATACGAGATATATGATAAATTATCTTGTCTAAATCTGAAATGTAATTTCGGCTCTTGTGTTTTGTTATCCAACAGCAAGTGCCTTGGATGCGTCTTTGTCCAACGAGAGTCGAAGTCATCCGACTTTAAAGGAGTTGCAGGTATGCACTGTGTAGGACAGTCTATTCTTCTCTTATGTGACTCATGAAACTTGAAAGAAGTCCTTAAAGGGATACTTATGGCAAGTTAAGTCTTTTACAATGGGTCTAAAGTAGGCCAATTTAACGTTGAATGACTTGTTGGATGTCAAAACAAACATAAGTGCGGTCCACCAATCACCAAAGCTACATATTTGTGCCTCAATAATGTATGAGTGAGTAGATAGTTATCTTAGTTTGTGTTCTTGGGCGGATTTTAAATCCTTAAAATCTTTGCAGGTATTGTGATTGAGAGAGTTAAAGAAGCTCATGAGGACGAAACTGCTCCGATGATGATGCTGTTTCCTGGTTAGTGCCATCTAAATCCGTTACGCCTAATTTGTATATAGCAGCTCATACTATTTGTAGTTTAGTCTTGGAATATTACTTTCATTTTTGCCAATATTATTTGGTTATGATGTTATAAGGGGGGAATCTGTTTACACCAATGAAAGTAGGTACAAATCAGTTTTCCAGAGATCCTGTTGTCGTAACTACGTGTAGATTAAGCTCTTTTGAAGCTATCACAAGCATTCAAAACCTTGTATGAGTTCGCCTAGCAAAAGGGCACCTTATTATACAATGTTGTGCAGTTCTTCCGAGTTATTTCAAGAGAATGTAGAAACGGCTAGTTCATGTAGATATAAATTCACAAGAAAATCACCAAGGAGATTCTTCTTTTTACTGGTTAAGCACGTTGTTCTGGAAGCTCCGTGGTGACTTCTTAGCATTAAAATGCATTTTCCTCCTTTCTCTGTCTGTATCCTTCACGCATAGAAATGCAGTAAGATTGATAACACCATTAGATCAGCAGGCTCACTAATGAATTTTTATTTTCTGCAACGTTTTAACAGAAGGCACGACTACAAATGGGGACTTCCTCCTCCCGTTTAAGACAGGTGGATTCTTAGCTGGAGCACCTGTGATTCCAGTGATTCTGAGGTATCCATATCAGAGGTTTAGTCCTGCCTGGGATTCAATAGCGGGGGTGAGTTTTCAACCCCTGTTTGAATATACATGTAAACAAACTTTTCCCTACATGCTATGTGATTGTCTGGAAAGTAGTTTTGACTTTTGACATGTTTCCCACTGCAGTTCCGTCATGTTATTCTTCTGCTGTGTCAATTTGTAAATCACTTGGAGGTGATAAGGCTACCTGTTTACTACCCTTCCCAAGAAGAGAAGACCGACCCTAAACTATACGCTAATAACATCCGGCGTTTGATGGCACGCGAGGTACATGCTTATATTTTAGCTACGTTGCTGTTTATGTAGTTGTCTCGTTTCTTAATCCGTACTTGCATAAATAATAATCGGTTTCCTGCCCCTGCTTTTTATGGTTTTGGTTGTTGTGGTTGCAGGGTGATCTTGTAATGTCAGATATTGGACTAGCCGAGAAGAGAATATACATCGCCGCACTCAATGGTAATAATAGCCTGCCTAGTGTTTTGCATCACAAAGACGATTGATAAATTTCATCCTGGCCTGGCTTGCCGAATGATAACAACAATTCTCTATTGAGCTTCTTATGATTAACATTGTTGGCAATTCAGTTCCCAGAAAGTGGGAGAAAGAGGGAACTGTACGATGTATCGGTCGAAAATACTTTTACGTTTCTGTAACCCCGTTATAGATTAGAAACAGAGTTTGGTCTGTTGTTGTGTTGTAGTAAAAGAAAAACTGAAGCAATTTTCTCTTTTTCATGTTCCTTTGCAGGTTTGTTATCACAGTGCTAACTCTGGGGTTTGCCGTCTTGTCTTTGTATAGTTGTGTATCATTCATTTATTAAGAACAGAAAGAAAGAAAGAAAGGAAACCCCTTAAAAGAAAGCGAAAGAGGAGAAGAAATGATACTTTAGGAAAGTAGCAAATAGGGAGAAATGGATGTGCAGAACTAAACAAAGATGTAATCATTAGCCGCCGCCTTCTGATCTGATCTTTGTAGTTCTTATTACTATCTGGAAAGAGCTTAAGATCTTGAATCCCTGCCCCGTGGAGGCTTTTCGACGCCATTTGACTCTATTTCTCGTCACAGACAAGTGTTCTTCAGCAAAGCTAACAAAGCCATCATAAGAAAACAGGATCATTAGAAGAGCTATGGTAATTAGAGAAAGTGCATTGTTGAGACTCATTCGGTCAAGAGTGCAAAGATCTAGATCATGCAGTTTGCTGACATTATCTCTTCCATGAGTAGCTTTAAGCTCGCTTCGCAGCGACTCTACCACTGTACTCCGGTTTTGCCAGCTTTGATCGGAGAAGCGGCGATGGGTTTATGTCTCATCTTCGTGACGATGAGATCTTCACCTTGCCGGACAGCCGGAGGCTTTGTTACTTTATGCAAACATAACATAATTATCAAAATCAGGAGCTATTCATCATTCGGAAAGAATAAGCCCCCAAGTCAACCCAGGCGCCAGGCAGCCATGAGTTATTCTCTACAGAGTTCTCTGTACAAAGCTGAATCATTCATATATATTAAAGCCAGCCAGCCAGCCTTCACAAACTGGGTTCCATATGAACTTCGCAGTTAAACAAAAATTTGCTGGTATTTGCTAGACATAAAATTAATCAGATAGCTCAACCAAAAATACTCAATTTATACCGATCCAAATCCTAATCAGGGGGGAATCAATGCCCCATCACGCCCTAATTCTCCAACATTACCACCTTCAATGGAGGTTTTCCAACCAAGCAGTGAAGGAAACCCCTCATTTCATCATCACATCGGTTAAAGCTAGCTCTCATATCACCTCTCCTTCAATGAAGTGCTGACGGACCTCTTGAACTCCCACGGCAGGCAGCCTCTCAGCGGTGACTGGAGAATCAACGACGAATTCGACAGCTGCCTCTGCCGCATAGAGATGGAAGACAAGCAACTAAATGCACTTCTCAGCCTCCTCTTCTCGCTGTCGCATGGTAGTTCGCCATTCGGGTCATGGGTCACTGCTTCGATCTTCAGTGACTCGGGAAGCACGCAGTTGCAGACAGAACCTGGAAATGGAGCCCCAAGAAGAAGCAAATCAACACATTGTTCCACTTACTGTATACTGAAAATGGTAACTAAAGGTTTGTCTTTTGTCTAACTAGAATTACCTATTTGTGCCAGCCGGTTGACCCATTTCGGGATAGGCCTACCGGTGAGCTTGTAACAGACATCCTTGCAGAAATGATTGCAGTTCTTGACAATCAAGTGGTATGTATCCCCATGGTAGCCCGCTGCGTGCTGTTCCATGAACTCTCGAACCTGCATTGGGTCTAAAGAAGTTGTCCCCACGAATATCGACCTCCTGAACTTGAACCCTGGACACTGCCTTGGCTCCACCTCGAACACTCCACTCGTCGGATAGTCGTGAGCTCCAAATGCATACTCCACCCCATGCACTGCACAAACACATAATTGGAGGATATGTTAGAACACTTTCATGCCAACAAGGATCAAGAAAGGAATGTGTAGAAGTGGCACTACGACTTGGCTTTACCTTCAACACCAGAGTGGAAGATGCCAAGACCAGCCCAATAGACGTAGCCATTCATCGGCGTCAAGTCGTATACATTGAGATAGACCGGTGATTTGCCCTGACCGTAGCTAGTCGCTGTTCTAGGCTTAGGAAACAAGCAGAAACGTGTGGCTGATTTACTTCTCAGCCGGATGGGCATCATCGCTTTCCATCCTCCTTTCTTCGACCCGAGTTTCATCTTCTTTAAGGATAATTCAAACATCGAACTAATAGCTGGATTACAATCTGCATAAACATACAGCAACAACATACAATTAGCCCGAAAATATGACTTGAATTCTAGAACTGGCGCATCAATTCCACAAATGGATCACTTGTCAGCACGTTGGGAATTAACAAAGAAGCTGGCCAGCGCCAGCCAGTTCATGGTGTGAAGGGGAAGACTATATATTCTAAGCATAATACAGTTGACATTTAGCTGGAAGTGGAGAAGGAGACAGATAAGAGTCAACTAAGGCACTCTATAAAACAAATGCCAAAATGTTGAGAGATGAAAACTAAAATGAAACAATTTCTTGCTGCTAATAATTTGACATAAATTGCCTCTCATAAATCATAATCATAAAACTCTGAAACAAGTAATTTCTTAATCAGCTATAGATATAGACAATAGATTCAGCTTGGATTTGGAGCTCAAGCGGAAAGACAGGACAAGAAGATGACAGATTTAGATCTTCAATTCAAATGGAAGTGAAAAAAAAAAAAAAAAAAGAGGAAAACCCAGATCTAAAAGCTTGAGACTTTCCTTGGCCGGAAACGAAACAATGCAGCAGATAGAAACAAACAGAATCCCACCCCCTCCAAAAAAGGGAAACGGATCCATTCTTTCTGGTAGGTGGGTGATTGGATTCGCAGAATTGCAAGAAAAACCCACCAAAGAATTTCCATCACTTTCGTCTCTCCGGCGGGAATTTTTCCAGGAAACAAACAGAGGTGAAAAGAACAGCAATGCACATGAAACCGAGAGAGAAAGGAAGGAAACAGTGAAGGAACCAGAAGAATAGAGCAGAATTGGAATCACTGTAAGAAGACAAATCGGAAGAAAGAACAGAACTGAACTTACTACAGAGTCAATAGAAAAGAGAGCAGGAGAAGGAAGAAGAAGAGCAGCAGCTGCGGCAGCAATTGTCGCCCATGGCCATGGCGGAAAGAAGGGAGGAGAACCCACAACCACAACTGCTTTTCTTCACAGTTGAGTTACCATCATCCTTACTTCCTCCTCACCTGAATAAAACAAAAGAAGCAATTCCCTCCCCACTATGCTGAATCCAATACTGCCATTATTGCTCTCCTCTCAAAAGAGAGAAATAATGAAAGAGAAAGACAAATGAAAACCTCGAAGGGGTATGTGAAGCTCAAGCTAGCTAGCATCCCCCAAGTAATAAAAATATATGTTTTCAAAAATAGAAAATTATAAATTCAATTCCTATTTCTTTGTCTGTTTACTGTACATTTATTTTACCCTCTCTTTCTGAAACAGAGGGTACTCTGCCATTCTCTTTCTCTCCCTCCACTGTCCACGTCTTTTTTACTCAGAAAAATTTCACAAATAGAGTAAAAGCAAAAGGAGGGAAGAAAAGGCAGTCTTCGAAGACCGACGGGAGGGAAGAAGAAGAAGATGCAAATGGCAATGGGGACAGTTAGTATTACTCGGACCAAAGCATGGGACCCGACCCTCCATCTTTACGCCATGCCATTGCTTGCTCTGCCCCAATTTCACTTTCCTCTGCAATATTCTTGTCCCAACTCATTTGCGTCCATACACGACACCCTATTCTTTACCTAAAAAGCCAAAAAGTTCATAGAACTCATTAGCACGATAAGGTAAACAAACAAATGTGTGGAAGCAAAAAATTGATTTTAATAAATTAAACATGCTCATCTGTTAAAATTTCCATTGAAAAAATTGTCAATCATGATTGAATCGATATTTAGATTAGGGGTGGGCAAACGGTTCGGTAAACCCGAATCGAATCAAAACCGAAACCAAATTAAACCGAACCGAAACCGAATTAATGTTATTCGGTTCGGAATTCGGAAGGAATATATGGATAGTTCGGAAATCAGGATTCTTTCAACCGGGCCGAATTTCTGAATTTCCGACCGAAAAACCAAAATACAATAATTGCAAGCTCCAAATGGTGGATTTTTATGTTTGTAGTTGTTTTTAGACTTAAATATTTGAAATGTTTTATGACTTATGTGTTGAAAAGTTTGGTTTTATCATTGATGATGCATATAATTGATATTTATTGTTTATATTAGGGGTGAAAAATAATTTAAAAGTGAGAAAATACAACTAGCTTCACAAATTTGGTTTTGTGTGAAAAACCGAACCGAATTATAGTTCGGTTTAAACCGACCAAACCGAATTATAATTAGGTTCGAATTTGGTTTGAGGTTTGGGAGAATTCGGGGACCCGGTATTCATAATTTTGGTTCGGTTGAAACCGAACCGACCGAATGCCCACCCCTAATTTAGATGACCCGACATCGACAAATGGGAAGAAAAAATGTCAGTTTTGTCCCCAATTTTATTTCCCTGGATCTTTTCAAAGTGAAATTATTTGAATGATTTGATTGTACAAAAGAACCAAAAAAAATTCTAAAGTGAATTTATTAGGGATATTTAGTCATTGACCTCTGGACAAGCTAGTGATGACATCCATCTTGTGAGCTCTAGCATCTAGAGGTTACCCTTATAGTGAAGAGACGGTAGAGCTGAGTGTTGAGTATGCACAACTTTTGCATCAAAATGGTTCTGATCCCACTAGTAGAGAGTGAGTGATTCATTCATCTTGTCATGTTCATATCATAGCCCCGTGAGGACCTTTTGTTGTGTCTCCCAAACTAAAGTTCGGCCTTGGTTAACGGTTTTTGGATGAAAAATTTAACAAAAGGGCATGTTTGATCATTTTTACAAAGTACAGGGACATATTATACTATTTTGTAATAAAGACTATATAATTAATAATTGAACCATGAACAACTAACTTTTTCAGCTCAATGTCGAGTCCAATTAAAAATAAATATATATGGTTATTACTTTTTAGAAAGTTATCATTTCCACTATGCGATTTGAATGCGTGAAATTTTAAGCGAGTTCCTGTTTGTATTCCATACCCTACCCAAACTCATCTACAAACTTTCAAATCCATATATACGTTACTCATGTCTTACCCATAATCAATGGGTCTATTTGGGTTTTAGTAAATATCATTTACTAGCCAAAATAGTAGAGGGGCATGTTTGATAACGCGCCATTTGAATGTGTGATGAAAAAAATAGTAGAGGGGCATGTTTGATAACGCGTCATAGTAGAGGGGCATATTATACCTATAACCCTTTTTTTAATAACACTTTCATCCATTCATTTCCAATTGAAGATGGCCACGATTACAACATATCAGATATACCATTGAGCACATGAATCCAATCATGATGAAGAGAATCAAGACGCCAATTATTTGCCACCCAATCAGCACACTTGTTGTTTCGACGACTGATGAAAGAGATCATATTCCTTCCCTCTAGATGCATGATTCTTTTGATAGCTTCCAGTGATGCATAACATCTCCATGGCCATGTCGAAGGACAACCATTGATAGCATCCACAAGAACCTTGCAATCAGAGTAGACAACAGTAGGGGGCCTTTCTTCGAAAGCACATTGGCACGCTTCAAGGATGGCTCGTGCCTCAGCTTCAATCGGAGAAGAACAAATAATCCTTCCAACCTTTCCATTCCATATCTGTCTGTTGGGGTTAGTAATAACTACTCCAAAAGCCGCCTCCTACGTAGCATCATCGAAAGAGCTGTCGCAGTAAATCCTTTTCAGAGGAAACAATGGCGGTGGACAAGATTGAGATGGAGGGTCCATGGGCTGTGTGAAGGTTGCGGGAGAAGGATGTGTGTAGTGGGGTTCCGCTGCATCCCGGAACACATAGATTGAGGTCATCGTCGGGGACGGGATAACTTTCCTGAAGATAAATTCATTGCGAGCTTTCCAAACGTTCCACATGCAGAAGATCTTCTGACGACAAGAATCAACACTCTCTTCGTCGCGCAAGGAGAAAATCCATTGCGAAATGGATTCATGGCAAGAAAATCCACTATCTTTGTAATTCATGCCAGAAATTGCCGAAGCAAAAGCTCTCTTTTGAAGGTAACAAATGATGAGGATTCATGGGATTCGACCAATGGTGGAGTTGGACTTTCAATCTCTGATTCATAAGCCGAATCGGGAAGAAAATACGAGGCTAGAAGTGGGGTGATCTTGTTGATCCCCGCCGTGTATAAAATATTGTTCGTCATATTAACAATTGATTCAAATATATAACTAGGTGGCGAAACCGCGCCTTGTCGCGGGACAGAGATAGTCTATAGACATGTATTATGTGGGCCGTTATGGTGTTTTGTTAGTAATATTAGTCTAAATTAATTTTTTGTTAGCAGTTTTGTTAGTAATATTGACTTGACAATATGATATTGACTGAAAAGAAATATGACGGTCTACATCCAATTTAAATATTTTTGAAAATTTTGGCTAGTAAATGATATTTACTAAAACCCAAATAATTAATTATATAGACTGTTGGTGAGTCGTATATGGACTCGTTCATACTTGTGATTAAAATACATAAAAATAGTATACTAATTAGGATTAGACGAACAAGGCAAAAAAAAGAAATAAAGAAAGGATTATGGAAGGTAAGTGAAAAATGAAAGGAAAAGGAAGTAGATGATCAAAATGTTTTGACCAATTCTTTTAGTTGGCCGTCAATACAACAGTCAACCCTTTTCACCGTAGCAATTTATTGACACTTGCTTATAGATGTCACATATTTTGTTACATGTAGTTAGTAAACGTTTATTTAGTACCTCGTAAATGTACTAAATGAGTTTATAAATTCGCTCTTGCAATATTTTAGAGTCGTCTCTCTTTTATCATTTATTTAATGTTTGACGTAATGAGCAAGTATAAACTGGTCGAATCTTCTTCTACAGTTGAGTGATGCATATTGTATTGTACAAACTAAATATAAAAGGATTGGTGGATTGGATTCAAGTGTAATCTAAACATTGGACCAATATGTAAATTTTAAAAATTGTAGGTACGAAAATCTCATATAATTTAGATACCAAAACATAATTGTGCAATGATTTTATATTAAAATTAAATTTGGGGTATCAAAATGTAAAATGTACATTATAGTGACTAAGTTGTGATTTAATTAAAATTGGGGTATCAAAATGAAAATTATTATGAAACAGTAACTGAACTTAAATTTATATAATAATTAAAATTAAATTTGGGGTATCAAAATGTAAAATGTACATTATAGTGACTAAGTTGTGATTTAATTAAATTTGGGGTATCAAAATGCAAATTATTATGTAACCGTATACATTTATATATAGTAATATAACGAAGTTTTTTTTAGGAGTAATATAACGAAGTTGTGCAAACTTCCTTGGAACATTTCTGACCAAACTGATATGTGTCTCACGAATATTTGTATGATGATGGGTTTCTAAAGATTCAATTGATTGGGAACAGTTAATCATCTTTGACTTAGCATTAGAAAATGATAAGTCTCAAAATCCATCATGACCTTCATCGAATTTCAAAATTTTACCATATGATTAGCGATTAAGTACGTTCCATGATGAGTAATAAACAATGATTCATCTGTTCGTGAATTATCAAAAGAGTACGTTTGCAACATTAATTGACTCCCAAAGGAGATTTTTGTATATTTTTTTTATAATGGTGAAAATATATTAACATGAAATGAAAAAATCGTCCAAAAAACAAAACGGATCAAGAGAGATGATCCAAAAACAAACAAAGAAGAAAAAACTCTACAACAAGGAAGAAAGGAAAGGAACAGGTCCTGAACCCTACTCTCTAACACTAACAAACCCAGAACAGACCTCAAAATCGAACTAACCCCTTTTAACACCACCCCATCCATTAATACTAACAGCTGCAACGGAAAACAATAGCCGAAAACCTGAACCACTCCAAAGAGACCATCTGCTTCACTCCTCGCTATCTGATCCTTTCATCCAAAGACGATCAACAGCATCTCTCCCAGGTAAATAAGCAATCTTACATGTCTACACAACGACCGTGTTCAAACTCCACCAATCCCATCTCTGTTAACCATCTACTTCCCTTCTCTTTCTGCGCTTTTCCTTTTGCTACAATCCATTCCAACGCCTTTTTTGCCGCCTTCTTCCCAACCACTATCACGTGAGACTCTTTGTCTTCAAAAATTCTCTGGTTCCTTTCGAGCCACACATTCCACCAGACAGCATGAAGCATACAGCCATCGAACCATCCTTCAATACCATCTCCATCAGCGATCAGCCAGTTCGCGATAATTTGGTTGATATCTCCATTTCTTCTTAAGGACCGGCTCCTCCTGCAATACAGAATTCTCCATATGTTCTTCACGAAATCACACTCCACAAGGATGTGGAGAATTGTTTCTTCCTGCTTCTTACATAGGCAGCATCTATTTACTAAGTACACTCCTCTCTTCTTCAAGTTGTCAATAGTTAAAATCCTGTTATGATATACCAACC